GGACGAGCACCACTGCACAGTCCAAACACGACCCAGTGGGAGCGGGGCGGCTGGCCCGGCTGTTTGCTGCTCTCCTGCCAACACACACTCCGACCGACACAGCACCGCTAAACATGAGCAACAAACAAACGATCTCTGTGGGAGCCAAACAGCATGTCTTTATATTAGTCGTATATGACTAATGATAAAAACTGGACGTTAAAGTGATGGAAGAGTGCCGATGTTCTGCCAAATCAAACTGAATGAAGGATCTTTCATTGCAATCAGAGGGAATCATGTGTGAAGAACAGAATTTAAAAAAAGAAAGAAATTATGTATTTCTTTAATGTTTGGGGCAATGGCCTTTGAGCTCGGGTCGGGGGTCATGGGTTCCAGCCCCCCATGAGACCTTCTTCACCGAATCTCCCACTGACGTTTGCTGTCGTTGTGTCCTTGGGAATCACACTATAAACAGTTTACTCAATCATTGAAGTTTTAAATTATGTCCTGAAACAGGTGTAATGTGCTTTACGATTTTCAAGTAAAAATAATATTAGAAATATGTAATATAATAATAATAATGCATTGGTTTTTGGACACTCAGAGACTCTTCACTTGTCCACATTCTTTCACCTGATGAATTAATCAGGATTAAAACAGATCTGAATTTGTCTCAGTACACAGAACAAATGTGCTTCTGCTCTGATATCACTCTGCTGATGCTGCTACTGCTGCTGCTGCTGCTACTGCTGCTGCTACTACTGCTGATGCTGCTGCTACTACTGCTGCTGCTGCTACTACTGCTGCTGCTACTACTGCTGATGCTGCTATTGCTGCTACTGCTACTACTGCTACTACTGCTGATGCTACTGCTGATGCTGCTATTGCTGCTGCTACTACTGCTGCTGCTGCTACTGCTACTGCTACTACTGCTGCTGCTACTACTACTACCACTACTACTGCTGCTGCTACTGCTTCTACTTCGGCTGCTACTACTACTGCTGCTGCTACTACTGCTACTACTGTTACTACTACTGCTGCTGCTACTACTGCTTTTACTGCTACTGCTGCTGCTACTACTGCTGATGCTGCTATTGCTGCTACTGCTGCTGCTACTGCTGCTGCTACTACTGCTGATGCTGCTATTGCTGCTGCTACTGCTGCTGCTATTGCTGCTGCTACTGCTGCTGCTATTGCTGCTGCTACTGCTATTGCTGCTGCTACTGCTACTACTGCTGCTGCTACTACTGCTGCTGCTACTGCTACTACTACTTACTACTGCTGCTGCTACTACTGCTTCTACTTTGGCTGCTACTACTACTGCTGCTGCTACTACTGCTACTACTGTTACTACTGCTGCTACTGTTACTACTGCTGCTACTGTTACTACTGCTGCTACTACTGCTACCACTGTTGCTGCTACTGCTTTTACTGCTACTGCTGCTGCTACTACTGCTACTACTGTTACTACTGCTGCTACTGTTACTACTGCTGCTGCTGCTACTACTGCTGCTACTAATACTGCTGCTGCTACTACTGCTACCACTGCTGCTGCTATTACTGCTGCTGCTACTAATACTGCTGCTACTACTACTGCTACCACTGTTGCTGCTACTGCTTTTACTGCTACTGCTGCTGCTACTACTGCTACTACTGTTACTACTGCTGCTACTGTTACTACTGCTGCTGCTGCTACTACTGCTGCTACTAATACTGCTGCTGCTACTACTGCTACCACTGCTGCTGCTATTACTGCTGCTGCTACTAATACTGCTGCTACTACTACTGCTACCACTGCTGCTGCTACTGCTTTTACTGCTACTGCTGCTGCTGCTACTGCTACTACCGTGTGCTACTGCTACTACTGTTACTACTGCTGCTACTGCTACTACTGATGCAACTAATACTGCTGCTGCTACTACTGCTACCACTGCTGCTGCTATTACTGCTGCTGCTACTGTTACTACTGCTGCTGCTACTATTACTACTGCTGCTACTACTGCTACCACTGCTGCTGCTACTGCTTTTACTGCTACTGCGGCTGCTACTACTGCTGCTGCTACTGTTACTAATGCTGCTACTGTTACTACTGCTGCTGCTGCTACTACTGCTGCTACTAATACTGCTGCTGCTACTACTGCTACCACTGCTGCTGCTATTACTGCTGCTGCTACTAATACTGCTGCTACTACTACTGCTACCACTGCTGCTGCTACTACTGCTGCTGCTACTGCTACTACTGTTACTACTGCTGCTACTGTTACTACTGCTGCTGCTGCTACTACTGCTGCTGCTACTGCTACCACTGCTGCTGCTACTATTACTACTACTGCTACCACTGCTGCTGCTACTGCTTTTACTGCTACTGCTGCTGCTACTACTGCTGCTGCTACTGCTACTACTGTTACTACTGCTGCTACTGTTACTACTGCTGCTACTGTTACTACTGCTGCTACTGTTACTACTGCTGCTACTGTTACTACTGCTGCTGCTACTAATACTTCTGCTGCTACTACTGCTACCACTGCTGCTGCTATTACTGCTGCTGCTACTAATACTGCTGCTACTACTACTGCTACCACTGCTGCTGCTACTGCTGCTTTTACTTCGCCTGCTACTACTGCTGCTGCTACCACTGCTACTACTTTTGCTGCTACTTTTACTGCTGCTGCTACTACTACTACTGCTACTACTGCTGCTGCTGGGTGTGACTAATCTCCACTCGTTTGCATAAAGTTTCCCCTCTCTTGTTAATATCTACTAAATCTTCACATTTTCATACCCAAAACATACACATTTAAAACGGACAATAATATTGCCTGAAACATCAAATCACTTAAAATGAAAACAAATTTAAAAACAGCTCAAGTCACGAGAAAGACAACGCCGGCGTGCCACAGATGCGTCTGCACTTCTACGGCAATCTTACCTGTTATACCCGATAACTATGACGAGCGACCGAAAATCATCGAGAAGAGAAGAAGACAAATGTTTACACTGCGGCGGCGTGAGATTACTGCTGTTTGTGTCGGAGAAACATGAGCCGTATGCAGGATCTGTGAACAAACGACACCATTCCGTCCGGCCAATGATCATCTGTCCCTCCCCGTGCTGTGATTGGTCCAAATCCAAGCCACCATTTGGGCCAGAATTTCCAGGCTTTCGGTCCAAATGATTTAAGGGTGCTGCGACTTGTATATGTATTGTGTGTATTGTGTTTCTTTGTGTTCTATGGATCCATTCCTTGCCCACTGTAATCTGTGATCACTTTTCCACTGTCTACAGGGAGAACCGATGAGTTAATGTTGGAAAATTGGAAAACTGTCAGGTCTGAATAAACCTTTGTTATGCAATGTCCCATCAAATAAAAACGTAAATATATAAACTCCAAAAAATGTTTACTAAAATGTGTTAGGATATTGTTGGTTTTACAGAAAGTTTTCTCTCTCTCTCTCTTTTTCTATTTCTTTGTCTCTCTCTCTCTCCCTCTCTGGTCTCTCTCTCTCTGGTCTCTCTGTCTCTCGTCTTTCTCTCTGTCTGTGTGTTTCTCTCTCTCTCTCCCTCTCTGGTCTCTCTCTCTCTGGTCTCTCTGTCTCTCGTCTTTCTCTCTGTCTGTGTGTTTCTCTCTCTCTCTCCCTCTCTGTGTGTGTCTCTCTGTCTCTCTCTCTCTCTCTGTCTCTTTTTGTCTCACTCTCTCTCTGGTCTCTCTGTGGGTGTGTCTCTCTCTCTGTGTGTGTGTGTCTCTCTCCCTCTCTCTCTGGTCTCTCTGTGGGTGTGTCTCTCTCTCTGTCTCTGGTCTCTCTCTGGTCTCTGTGTGTGTGTGTGTGTCTCACTCCCTCTCTCTCTCTGGTCTCACCCCCTCTCTCTCTCTGGTCTCACCCCCTCTCTCTCTGCTCTCTCTCTGGTCTTTCTCTCTCTCACTGGTCTCTCTCTCTCTGGTATCTCTCCCTCTCTCTCTGGTCTCACTCCCTCTCTCTCTCTCTGGTCCCTCTCTGCTCTCTCTCTGGTCTCTCTCTCTCTCTTTCTCTCTCTCTCTCTCTCTCTGCTCTCTCTCTCTCTCTCTGCTCTCTCTCTTGGCATGGCGCCGTAAAGATGGCGCCGTGGCAAGAGCTCTGGTGTGTGTCTGGTGCACACCGGGGTAGTCTTGCACAGTTTTTCCAATGTGGTTTTACTGCAAATGGCAAATAAATGAATCTGAATCTGATCATCTGATCTTTCTCTCTTTCTCTCTCTCTCTCTCTGCTCTCTCTCTCTCTCTCTCTGGTCTCTCTCTCTCTCTCTCTGGTCCCTCTCTGGTCTCTCTCTCTCTCTGGTCCCTCTCTGCTCTCTCTCTGGTCTCTCTTTCTCTCTCTCTCTCTCTTTCTCTCTCTGGTCTCTCTCTCTGGTCTCTCTCTCTCTCTCTGTCTCTCTAGTCTCTCTCTGAACTCTCTCTTTATCTCTGGTCTCTGTCTCTCTCTGGTCAAAGTTAAATTCATTAGCCTTTGCACTGTGTAATTACAAAATCATTTCTCACCTCGACGACAAGTGTGAGTGTGTTGTTCTCCCTGATCTTCTTATAAGTAAGAACATTACTTAAGAAGTTAATATTTTTTTCCTCTGAATTCAAAGTGAATTTTTCTCCACAGCTGTCGTCTCAAAGGGTGCAATGTGTAATTCATGAATTTTTGAGTACTTTTTTTACACATCGAATATGGAATGTTATAATCACAAAGAATTGGCTCAAGAAGAGGATTAATTGTATAGCGCCAAAATAGATCTGGCTTTTCGCTAAACTACTTGGTGCAAATGGCAAGCTATTCCGATACGTTTCTAATGTCTGTTTTTGCGAATAAACTGTTCATTTATTGGTTCGCTCTGCTCCCGTTTCTTTCCTGTTCTCGTCCCACGTCGAGCTCAGTGCTTGTCTCCGAGTCCGGACCTTGATTGAGCTGCAGAGCTGTTGTTTACCTTTCGCAGATAAAGCAGGATAAATGATGGTGTATTGAAAGAGACAGAGCAGGATAGATGTGCTAGTCTGGACCATGGAGAGGAGAGCTGACGTGATGAGCTCCGACAAGGTGAAGCAGCCCTGAGCTCCAGCCCAGGCCCAGGCCCAAAACCAGACCATCACATCTGGCACAGCACTACTCTGGCCACTTTGTAGAGAGTATGCTCGGCTCCAGGTAATCATGACATTTGGATGGATGTTATTCCAAATAGATGACAGAAGTTAGCAGACAAAAGCCTCCATCAATCTATCCATCATAATGAAATAATAATCAAGAATGGCCTGATATCATTGTCCATTATAGTCAGAATGTATAGCGCCATTTTGAATATATACTGTCCCACCATATCCAGGTGGGACAGTAGTTAAGGCAAGGCAAGGCAAGTTTATTTATATAGCACAATTCATACACAAGGCAACTCAAAGTGCTGAACAAGATAGCATTAAAATCATAAATAATCACAGAACATTAAAAAGAAAGCTAAAAATATAAAATCCCTCAGTTGTATGCACAGCTAAACAGAACCGTTTTCAACCTGGTTTTAAACATTGTCAGAGAGGAGGCCTGTCTCACATCTTCAGGAAGACTGTTCCAGACTCTGGGCACTAACAGGAGTCCAGTCCCTGTGCTCCTCAGAGTCCGGTCTGGTTCATATGGGACTAACCGTATATATTTAATAAATTTTTTCTTGGGGCAGAAACACCTATATGGGCACAATCGACTGAAAGCTTTGAATTAATCTTAATTTGGTCACTGGCAGGAGATGTCCAACACACACACACACCCCTACATACGCACACACTCTCATACAGTACACACACACAGACACACCCCTACATACGCATATAGTACACACACACACACACCCCCCTACATACATACAAACACACACACACACAGCATACACACAGACATACAGTACACACACATTCAGTATACACATACAAACATACTTACTCACAATCACTCTCACACACACACCCCTACACACACATATACAAATACACACACACATACAGTACACGAGCACATACTCCTTCACGTCCACTTTATAATATACACACCCACACCCTTACATACACATACATACATAAATACACACACATTCTCACACACACACACACACAATATTAGAGCAGAACAACTGTTTAATGCAAAACACCACAAGGTCTCGCCCTCAACCCGCTGACGCTCCGTTTTGGCCCGCCTAGTTCAAAGGTTTGGGTACCCCTGGTCTGTGGTAAATATAGAAACTCGAAGCCTGATTAACTGGACAGAATGTTGTGGTCGAGTGCACCCATCATTTACGGACGGGTCAGAAGCGGTCAGAGAAGATAAAGGCAGAGGATCAGAGGAGATGGCCAGAGGAGCATCAAAAGGCAGCAGTTCACAGCAGAGTCAAACAACAGTCAAAGCAGGAGTTTGACAAATGGTTCAGAGGAGGTTCAGATGAGGCCCTGGGAGGCTTCGCCAAGTCCATCACGAGCCCAAACTGACGGGGCAGAAGAGAGCTGGGCTGGACTAACGGCAGCGGGCTTATGTAAGAGCGACAGGAGCGACAGGCCACACACCGATCGGATCTGACTTTGAAATCAACACAGTGAAATGGGAGACGCAAGCCGGAATGCCCAACAGACTTCAAGTAGTGAAGAAGCAAATGTGTGCGTCCAGTCGAGGGGAAAGAACTGTGTGGTATCGGCCTCAGAGTCTTCTTCAATCATTCACGAAGAAAAAACAATAACAATAACAAGAAAAACAGGGAAAAAGGATTATTGTCATTGAGAGAGGAATTAGATTAGATCTCATTCGTCAACCGATCTAATACATACTGATACAATAGCAATAACAACTGGCTATAATCATCCAGATTGTTTTTATGAACGCTTTGCTTGTCTGGGTTGATCAAAATCACCGATCACAATAAATCTAACTAAATGCTGGATCAAAAACTCCAGGGAATAGTATCTCCCCTTCAGCCCTGTGCTGTTTACATCTGACACCCGAGATCTGGTCAGACATTTGATTTATGGTACGCTGATGCATGCTTTTATCAGCAGTCGTATGGATTAAAATAGATTTGATTAGATTAGACGTTATTGTATCTTGACAGAGACATTTCTCTTGGACAAACAATGGGAACAGAGAACAACATGACAAAGGACAAGAACAAACAGTTTCACTTGTATCACCATGAACTCAACCAGATCAGATACAGTTATAGGACTGAGTTGCCAACGCAGGGCTGTGGTACATTCATGAAGAACAACCCAGACCGGTGGTGGGGGGAGGGTCCCGGGTCCCGGGTCCAAATGGTCCTGGACATGCTTGCAATACCCAATGCTTTTGTTGGACGCTGTCTATAATCTTGAAAACGGCTTTACAGGGTGGTCCAAAAGTCGGGTCTTGGCCCAAAGCTACGTTCCAGATGCTGTGAGTATTTTTTTTGGACCAGTCTAATTTAGTCGCCGTAGATTTTGAATAGACTTGGTAAATGAACGGGGCGAGTGCCGGCTGACGCATGCGCAAATGCGTTTTTTCACGTTTTCCTGCCCCGCGGCCATTTTGAAAAAGCCCCACAGAAGGCAAAAGTGGTGGCACATCAGTTTCAACGGCAGAGGGAGGTGTGAGTACAACACAGTTTTCCATATTTTTGCAATAAGCATCAATAATAGTAACAAGTGATGTTCCATACTTAGTTCTGTTCAACATAAAAATCACATGTCACAGAAATCACAAGTTGTAGTTTCTTGCATATATATTTATAGGAGCAATCGCCCCGGGAATCTGTAAAGAATGTTTACAGTATATTTCTTCAGTTTACAGTTTGGCAGCAGCTCAAACGCTTCGCAGAGAATGTAAGAGTGGTGTCAGTGTCTGCTTCAGGGCTGTCTCCTCAAACATCTCCTGCACTGAATATAATTTTACTTGAACTGTCAGATCCCCAGGTTGTGTAACAAACTGTAGCGAACAATAGACTCAAGGCAGGTTCTATGAAAAAACAGCATTGCTCTTTTATCAGCACCATGAAGTCTCGGTTTTGGAAAAAGTAAGTGCTGGTTTACTTTGGCACAGACACAGTGGACATGGTCAGCCCAATAAAACTGTGGGTCAAACTTAAAGTAATGGCATAAAAATGGCATTAATAAACCATTGCCTTTTAAAATACTTCTTTAACTGATTACAATGGTTAAGATTGGATATTCCAATTTCAAACTTAGATTTACAGCCCCTAAATCTTGGTTTTGTTTTCCTTTTGATGTCCCGCCCTCCACCTAACTGCGTCGAGCTAATCTCACTGCTAAAGTAACATGTCGGCCTAAAAAACTGTCTAATGGCAAAACAATAAATAAATAAATGAGGATTTCAATCAGGGATTCCTTTGTGAACAAGGTGTTTATAGATTTGCTTTTGACAAAACAACTCCATGACAGATTTTTACATATTGCTCCTTTAATGTAATGAGCAGGGGCCGTATTCCTAAAGATTCTGAGAGTCCTCTCAGAGAGCTCTTATCTTAACCTAAAAACTCCTAGCTAGGAGTCTTAGCTTAAAAGTTATTCCAGAACACTCTTAGAGAACTCTGAGCAAGGAATTGACAACAACTTTTATCTTAGTGAGGAGGCATGGCCGACCCCGTTGCTAGGTATGAGTCATCATTTCAGACGCTGTGATTGGTTGATCCTAAAAGTTAGAAAAAACATATTTTTGATGATAATAGGCAAAATAAGGGCCCTAAAATGGACAAACTCAATCATGGAATCTAATCTTAGGAACACTGTGTTATTGTAAATAATAACCAAAAGCTATAAAGTCAGATATATCAATGGTACATAAATACTGTGAATAGTAAAGTTAGACTTATACACCACATCATCAGAGCTTGCTCAGCACCAATTTATCACACATAGTACGTATATATCATGAGCACTTATAATTTTATATATATATATATATATATATACATATAATTTAAATATTACTCTATATATAATATACATGATAAAGAAAATTATTATTATAAATATTATATGGATAAATGATGATAATGATAACGTTAGGATTAGTAAAGGCTGTGATATTTATAGACTTATAAGGAAGTAAGGAAACAATATTAATATAAACATATTATACATACACTGTACAAATCAAGTACAAGGGAGTTTAAAAGTCTTATCCTCTCCCACTCCTTTTTGAGCTGGATTGTTGTTAATAAAACAAAACTGTATATTTGTACTTCTATTCTGTTGTTGTTTTGTTTGTTTTTGTCCTTTTTTCTTGTTTGCCAAGGCTCAAAATAAAGTATTCATTCATTTGTACTGAATGTGTGACAATTTAGGACCACTTTTTCCTCTCTTTCAACTTTTACCATTTCTACTTACTTTTGTGTAACAAAGGTAAAATGGATGAGGTGTTATTGCTGACCAGCCAATGAGAAGCTGGTCACATGATTGACTTTTAAATATACCACAAACATGATTCCTGCTTGAATCTGTAGCGTTTCACTGATTCACTGTCATCCAGTGTATAGAATATTTCTCCTGTCTCCACCGTCCACCATTTTGTGCTCTTAGGGAACTTTTAAGTCGCTAAAAGTCCTCCTCTCAACTCTTAAGGGATCTCCCCTTAAGAGCACTCTTAAGAGCTAGGATTTTTTAGGAATAGCTTTTATCTTAACTAGGAGCTACTCCTCACTTTTAGGGGAAATTCTAAGAGTTGGTCAAGATTCTAAGAAAATTCTTAGAATTTGGCCACTAGGAGCAACTTTTAGCAGTAAGAATCTTTAGGAATACGGCCCCAGGTCTTTGTGACTGATTTCCTGATCTTTGCTGGAGATCACACGTTGATGTCACACTACTTTTTTTTGCAGAATCATCTTTAGTTTTAGTTCCTCTCCAGGTGGGTGGAGTGGTCCTTCCTCAAGTGGAGGAGTTCAAGTATCTCGGGGTCTTGTTTACGAGTGAGGGGAGGATGGAGCGTGAGATTGACAGGCGGATCGGTGCAGCGTGCGCAGTGATGCGGTCGCTGTATCGGACCGTTGTGGTAAAGAGGGAGCTGAGCCGAAAGGCAAAGCTCTCGATTTACCGGTCAATCTTCGTTCCCTCCCTCACCTATGGTCATGAGCTTTGGGTAATGACCGAAAGAACGAGATCGCGGATACAAGCGGTCGAAATGAGCTTCCTCCGCAGAGTGGCTGGGCGCTCCCTTAGAGATAGGGTGAGGAGCTCAGTCACACGGGAGGAGCTCGGAGTAGAGCCGCTGCTTCTCCACGTCGAGAGGAACCAGTTGAGGTGGCTCGGGCATGTGTTCCGGATGCCTCCTGGACGCCTCCCTGGGGAGGTGTTCCGGGCACGTCCCACCGGGAGGAGGCCCCGCGGAAGACCTAGGACACGCTGGAGGGACTACGTCTCTCAGCTGGCCTGGGAACGCCTTGGGGTCCCCCCGGACGAGCTGGAGGAAGTGTGTGTGGATAGGGAAGTCTGGACGTCTCTGCTTAGACTGCTGCCCCCGCGACCGAGAATCTAAGAATACAGTGATTATTGTGTCGTTCATGTTTGTGTCATGCAGAGTGTGTACATAGGCCTGGCGAGCTTACTGATGTTCACTCACTGCCAGTCTGACAGAGCACCTGCTTGTCTTCCTGTCAGACAAGAGAAGTACCCACTGTATCAACTGTCAGTTTTTGAACTACCACAACACGGACAATTGTATGAAATGCTGAACTAAAATTCATGAATAATATCCGTACATATGCTAAGGGTGCTTTGCGGTGTTTTAGGTGTTTTAATGTTTTAAAGCTAAATGTGTGGCTATAATTAGGGCATCACCAGTGTCCTGTCCCTGCAGGTCAGGGGGGTCAAACCAGTCCTCAAACGGTCGTGTGGCTGCAGGTTTTAATTTTTTTTCGGGTGCCAAAAACATTTTTCCAAGTAACAGTAGACCAACAGAATTATAGAGTGGTTCACAGAAGTCCAATTAAATTGTAAGATTTGTCCATCAAGCAAATAAAATAATGTATTTTTTATGAATATTTTGAATCAATTATTCATTGATTTGAATGCTCCATTCAAACCAATTTTACTGCTGCTGTGAGGAGCTGTATTATAAATTATGATTAAATATTTGAATATTTCAATTAATAATCTCTCCTCCGCACATCTTGGACCATTGACCTAGCGTGTGCACAGAAAAGTAGGCGTAGACCAATCAGAAAGGAAAGGGGAAAGAGTTTGGGTGGTTTTTTTTCAAATCATGTACCTCTCTCTCTTTTTTCTGACAAAGTCCAGATTATTACTATCAAGTTAACCCTTATAACCCACATTGTTCGGCTCAAAAAATCCACCCAAAGTCAAATAATGACTCACAGAGATCTTTCTTAAGAATGCAAAAAAGGCCTGTTGTGGTGTGATGTTACTTTTGGGTACAACTATCATGCATTATTAATGCAAGGGAAAATGTAGGTACCCCAGCTTTAATTTAGAGAGTTTTAGTTGTGCAA